TATATATATATATATATATATATATATATATATATATATATATATATATATATAAAAGAGTGAGTCACTGTGCAATATGTATTTTTTGTAGGGTCACGGGGGGCGGCAAACTCAAGGGCCGCCCCGGGCGGCACACACTCTAGCTACGCCACTGGTGAAAATTGACTGAGGCTGCAACACCACCAAGTACTGTATAGTACTGTGAAACATTGCCTCCAGATGTAAAGCACCCTTTAGTGAAGAGAAGCCATTACAGAATTAGGTTTTACTTAAAAGAAATTGACCACTGTAGGTTGTCAAAAAATTATGGTTCCAGCTTAAATCAAATACTGTACTGTACTGTACTGTACTGTACTGTACCACTCTGTGAGCTTTAATGTAAATTTGCCTGCAGGTGCAAATTACCCCGAGGCAAAAGTAGAGTAGAGCTAACCTTAACCCAATGCACTGTACTGTAAATTAACATTTTAATTCAATAAACCAACAACTTCATACATTCCTTCAGTGCATGGGGGGGGGGCGGCTAACCTAACCTGCCTCACCTGGCATTATTGCAGTTTCAGCCACAACTGGGGTAGAGCAATTTTGTGTTTACCATTAGTTATATTTTGTCAATAAGAAAAACTTTTTTGAATAACACTTCCGCTGCAAATGGATATTAACCAAGAAAGAAAATTCACCAAAGAAATTAACATAAATCTGCAGTCACCGTTTTCGGTCTGATTGTATTCTTAAGTCCACAAAAAACGTAAAATAAGTACTTTCTGTTTAATATAGTGGAGATGGCTAGGAAGTTAGGTAAGGTTAGATAGCTTTCTTTGGTTGGTTAGGTCAGGTCGCATTGGGGGAGGGGGTGATAAATCCAAAAAGACTCATTTCCGCCGGAATTGGAGGTCAAATTCGAATGAATCACACCAAAATATCAAGGGAAATACAAAAATCTGTGGTCGAACAGCAGTTGTGGTTGAAATTAAATTTACCTGTAACCTAACGTAACTTAACCTACTACGTATTACCAAATACCTTGCGGGGGACAAACCTATTGGGATAAAAACGAATATTGACCCTGAATTTCAATATATACTGCAATTATAGATAATTGATGATTTATTGAATATTTACAGTACTAGCACATTACCTTAATTCCTAGTGTTGATGTGCTAATTTGTAGACAGCAGTAGCGGTGTGATGGCATTACAGAAATCTGTAAAATAAGTAAAATAAGTAAACATTGCAATTAGAAATAGTTACCTGTTACACCTGCATAAGTTCCCCATAACTTTTCATTAAGGTATTTATCATTCACCAGTACGCAAGAAACAGTGATTGCCTAACTTGGGAGCATGCAACTTTAAACCGTCATTTCCACTTACTACAAACGAAAGAGGTCTTTAAACAAAATCATGTAGCAGGTAGTAGGCCGTTATCAAACAGGGAGGTACTACCGCCTGGGAAGATAGTGGAAGCATAATATGTTGTCCATTGGTCGACCCTGATGCCATAAGGCATCACAAAAATTGTGACCAAGTCTCCGGTTCCTTATCTGACTTTCTGCTTCACATACACACAATTGCATACAACATACATTATTGTTTCTCATATAATCAACAACCTCACCCGTGTATATATATATATATATATATATATATATATATATATATATATATATATATATATATATTCTCATATCTTGATAAAATCACATTTTCCCGTGTGATTTTATCAAGATTTATCTTATCCACGTTTTCATTGTGGATTTACATGAAATATATTCTCATAGTACAGCAATACGAGAGATACTTTAAAAGTACATGATATGGCTGTTACTATAAGAGATTACGGTAAATATGAAGATTATTCGTAAGCACATCCCTCCTTTCCAATGCTGATGCAATTGAATTAAGACACAAACTGCACCGCCATTTTCGTCAACCACTTCAAGTTCATCCCCTTTCATGCTCTTCTCTTCTTATACCATAAAGTTCTATTCCTACTGAACTTATCTTCAAAATTTCTATCAGACATACATTTTTCCAAAACACCGTCACATCGATTCATATTTAAACTACACATAGATTTTGAGAAAAAAATCTCGTTTTCTATGAGTCGTCTCCTCCACGAGCTTCTCGTCTTCCTCGGTTGACTCTGATTGGCCTACATCAATTTCCGTTGTCGTCAAAATCCATATACTCAACAATATAAATATTTATGTAAAATAAATATCGAGCAAGTAAAGTAACTAAATTTGATTTTGCAATTATTTAGTGTTGTATTTTAATAAATTCGCTTTGTGTAAAATTTGATTTAGTTATGCTGATATTCGTAAATACATGATGCTTAATCGAGCAGTCTGTTCATGTTCATGGCGTCTGTATACATTCCCCTGTGTGTATGACAGGGCCAGCTTAAAAAATTACAATCTTTAGAAATTTGATGCAAGAAAAATGACCCGACAGTCTTGACAATATATAGAAAACGGGGTAAAATGATTTTAAAGAAAATAAATAATGCAGAAATGTCCATCTGATCAGGAAACTATACTCTAGGTCCTGCTGATTACAAATGAATAAGCATGTATATAAACTGGGCAGGTATACAGTTCAGTCCGAATATAGGCAATGTAGGTATACAGTGCAGGTAGGCGGTGGGAGTATAGAACTACTTTAGGTGATTCATTAAACAATTTGCGGATGGAAGAAAATATTTGATTCAGGGGTGACCAAAGTAACAAGTTTAGTGCTTGACGTAATCAAGGTAACTCAGACCTTTTGTAAGCATTTTAATATAGTACAGTAGATCTATTATTCTTGATAGGTTATACTAACTTCAGTTATGATTTTGACTCACTGCAAGGCGGTATATGGCTGTCGTATTTGAGATAAACGATACATCTTTTTTATCATGTGGGATTAAAATTTGTATCTAAACATGTAATAGTCTATAATTTATATTTTTGTGGTAATTTTGGACACGAAGTTTTCCTTGACTCAGTGCCTGCCAACAAATGTCAAGCTTTGTCAACCAGCTAATTCTTAGTACCGATTCACCAAATCTGCCAGACCCAGTTCAATCCCATTGTTCTTTACCCTGAGGTGAGTCACACAGTCTGACCAACCTAGAAAAAAGTTTTAATTCCACCCATAACAATCACTGTAAAACATCAATAGAATGTTCATATCATTTTCTGCACTGCTAGGCGCAAGCTGACGACAGCTGCCTGTGGTCAGCTAACGAGCCGATCAGTGGCGACGAGAAAAAAAACGGATTCACATCAGTAGAGACCTGCACATAAAGTGGTAAGTCCGAAGTCATTCTTTTTATTACCGCATGAAACGAGGTTTAATTAATTAGTCACTGAGATCAGCTATTATTTTTTCTCATATTGCCTACTAAAATTATCAGCTCCCCTTGAGCTAAATCCACATCCTAACCATTTTTCTAGCTAAGCATATTACTGTATAAGTGTTCTTATCTAATGATAATGGTCATTTAAAAACTTGTGGTGGAGAAAGAAAAACTAACACAACTTCAAAAGAAGCTGCGTAATGTATTTTGGTGCTTCTTTAACATGTATAAAAGCTTCTCTAAATTGTTTTGCGGTGTTTAATTTCTGACAGGCAGTAGGCTACATTGTCAGACCACTCCTCTTTTACGTTGTAGCTGAAATAATATAGGCTTACCTTTTGAACATGGCAGTTATAATGTTGGTATTGCCCCATTCTTAATCCTTATAAATCTTCTTGATACCGGTAGTCCAAGCAGTTTACATTTCATGTTCCCAACTCTCTGGACTCAAAATGCAAGCTGCATAATAGCACATTTTCGGCATTTCTAGTCTTTCCTTTTGCACAAGTGAATCCATCTTCTTCTCAGTTCTTTATCCTTTGGAAAACGATGGAATGTTATATCACTTTCTTGGTTTTTAATTTATGATAAACATCACCAAATTGAGGAAGGCTCGGCATGGTGGTGTTGTTGTTGTTGACTTGTGGGCAGTAGTGACGTCACGTACTCCGTATAGTTCCGTTTTCTTTGATCAGGGAGCAGACTGCAGGGTATTCTGATGACCTTGCTGGTGGACATTAGCAACTTTTGGTCAAATTGTCTTTCTATTTAACATTGTTGTGTACCTGCACTGGGTTAATATTTGGAAATTGCCAACACCTACTTATATTTCTTTTTATATAGGGAGAAAGAAAAAATGAAAATAATTTATTCTTTAGCATTTCCAATTGAAATTTATATTTTTTTTTAGGATTTTAACCGATAAAATTGCCCACAATATTAGTTGTTAAAAGTGGGCTGCACTTTGAAGTAGAAGGCAAATGTGGGGTAAAATATCTAAAACAAAATAACACTAAACAAACCCCTGAAAACCTTACCTAGCCTTTTCTAGCTTGTAAAAAAAAAAAAAAAAAATATTCAATCATGTTTTGTCTGTCCCAGGCATCGAAGGCCGAGAAACATAACGTGAAGAAGATCTGGATTTACAAAACGTCACCTGTAGATACAGCAATGACTTAATAAATTAATAAAACAAGTGAGCCCAATCGTCACCAATACTTTGATATAAAACTTCAAAACTTAAATACTAATGTTAAGCTACGTTGGCTTTCGAATTTAAACGTTTTACACAAGAGGTAGGAAGATCTTTGTTAGTAAAAGTAAAATATATATATATAAATATATATATATATATGTGTGTGGATTTATAATAAAAGTTAGATAATGTATATTTGACGAATATTTAACACTTCTATACTGTCATTTCAGAGACAAATATTTATGACGTCAGTAAAGTGTTGCCATTTCGGGCATTGTTCTAGAGCTTTCCCACTTGTCAAATAATCACAGTTTGTATTTTTTTTTAACATGAAGAATTTATTTCGTTATATAAATTAAATAATACTTTTTATTAAAATAAAATAACTTGTGCATAGTCTGATGATTATGGAATTTACGTGTGAAGTTGGTTAATTTATTGTGTGGCAATACTGGAAATTGTTGACTGGTGGGAGGTCCGACGCTGAACCATTCTGGGTGGCTGTTAAAATTCGTCTCTGTACAGTAGATTCTCAAAGTCTTGATACAAAAACAATGGTAAGTTAATCATGGTTTTCAAAATATTGCTACTGTTGAGGAATTCTAGATAGACAAGCGTTTCAAGTCTGTTTGCAAATAGTCTAAGCTTGAGAATGCCAAGACTATTGACCCTGGCAGTGAATTGACACAGTGTAGGGGTATCGAGATATTAATGTTGTCTAGCACTCAGGATGGAAGGAAACTCTAATGTGGTTTTCTTGTATAATATATATAAGATATATGATAGACAGTCTGGTGCTGGAGGTGCTGTGTGGTGAGGGGCTGCTTGGTAGAGACGTGCGGTGAGTAGCTTGTTGAAGGAGGTAGATGTGCAGGAGCTTCGTTAGAGAAGATGTTGCCTGTTGCTGGCCTCCTGGTTGAATGAAATGTTAACAGCGTGGAGCTTGCTGGAGGAGATGTTGCTTGTTCAGGACAATGGGCAGAATGAGAGTTGGTTAGTGAGGAAGCTCAGAGAAGGACATGCTCGCTGGCGGGAGCGAGGACCGCCAGGCAGGCGGAGGAGAGGCGAGGGTCGCCAGGCAGCGGCAGAGGAGGAGGTGTTGCTTGTTCAAGAAGATTGGTCAGACTGAATCTCAAGGGAGAGACAGAGCTTATATACACCCAGCAGCGGCTATGAGTCATGGTGGGAAAACCCGAGAAGTAGCCGGTGAATAGTTTCGTTGCTAAGATACGGTAACATCTGGTTGGTTGCTAGGGAAGGCGGCACATTGGAATGTGATGGCAGGTGGTGGGCTGCTATGCAGTTAGTTTGTAGGGGAGACGTCCACTACAACAGCAACGTGCATACTCAATTAATATACGGTGTAGGTTAATGAGAGGGTCATAACTTTATATATAAGTACTTCTATGGGTATTATTATAGTTTTGGTCTTCCGGGAAATCTTAGGAATTTATCCTGGGGGTCAATGTGGGAAAATGTCACCAGGGATTTGAATATTGAGTCATACATGGTCACACAGAAAAAAATAGGTATTATTTTCTTTACACACCGTTCATTCCTACCACTAATCTATTATCATATTCGAATAAGACGTCTAATTATAAGATAATTTTCATCTATTACATTACCGGCGGAAATGTATAATAACGGAGATAGCTTTCCCAAAATATTTTCTATTTTCTTCCATTAACATCCCGCCATTATCGTCTGCCTCTCCAACACTGCGTGTCTCCTGCGTTTCCTTCATAAATCATCCTGCGCATGCGTTGCTGTACACTTCACGTGGCCAATCAAAAGCCTTTTTTATTTTGAAATCGATTAAAATGTTTTGGGGTTTAATTTGCGGTATTTTTGGCCCAATCAAATTCGAGTATTCTTTTTGGTCTCTTATATTTTGAAATTCAAGTTCAGTTCCAACCATAGAAGTCTGCGATGGGTGTCACTTAGAGTATATGGAGCTGATTGCGAGTTTTTGGAAAAAACGTAGAAACTATAGCATTTTTTGATCGCATGGTGTTCTTCCAACCTCAGTAAAGTGTACTAAGAGCAAGACGGAATGTAAATATCGCAAAGACCAACATATGTGGCGTTGTGTAAGAATCCCAGAATGCAACGACGAACAAGAACCAGGCCAATAAGGTAAGAAATAGGTGATTCCATCATATGGTGAGTCAGTTAGGTTAGGTTTGGTTATTGTTTTTCTAGTGTTTTTTTGTGTATTTTTTAGTCGCTTACCCTTTTTTTCTCGGAAAACGTCAAACGAAAAAAAAATCGCTAAAAGAAACGGCTAATTTCCGCCAAAAAGGAAGGTCATATTCGGTCTCAACACACACAAATACAATAGAAAAATTTATTTTTAACTTGCTAAAAGTGAACGGTGTGACAAGAAAAATTTACTAAAATATATATATATATATATATATATATATATATATATATATATATATATATATATATATATATATATATATATATATATATATATATATATATATATATATATATATATATATATATATATATATATATATATATATATATATATATATATATATATATATATATATATATATATCTTCTATAATGTTTCCTTCGGAAATTTATAGTTTTCGAGATAATTGGAATTTTTTATTTAGACAATCAGTGGTGGTTTTATTTTTACGTCATAGTCTTGCGCGCGAATCATTATGAGTATTTATAAGTCGTAACACCCGAACACCAATGAGGGTAACTTTCGATTCCCGCTCAGTTTCAAGATGAAGCCTGTGTGTGGAGGTTGTACCTTGGCTGACTGGCGGGTTATTCACCATGTTTTTGAGAATGATGCAGCAGCCATAGATATTTTTAGAGCTCACTGTGTTCTTGTATTGTCAGTAAAGTGTCCACAATGTAAATCAGAGTGTCAGTATCGTGCAGAATGACATACCTGGTACTGTAACAAGAGACAGACACTAGCGAAGTGAAAAAGATCTCGCCAATGTGGATTTAGTTTGTCTGCCTTTAAGGGCACTTGGCTGGAAAAAGATAATATCCCACCATGGAAAATTTTTTTGTTTTGTAATATATTCGTCAGAAAGCACTTTTGTCAATGTTACATAACTAAAAATTTAGGGTCAATGTGGGATAAAGGTCACACTTAAGGTAAGTTATATCTTCACTATGCCTCATTTCCGATGGAACTGTTAGTAAAGAAATAATTTTTATTTATTTTTTTTGGTATCTAACCATGTATATAACTCAAAATGAAAAAATAGTCATAACTCAGAAATGAAACATTTATTACCTGTTACCTATCAGTTTATTTCACAATTCTTGCATCTTGCTGCACTCTAGCTGTAATTATAAAAAATATATATATTCTGTAATATAGTTGGTAAGTTTTTTTAAATTTTGTGATTATACATTTACAAAGCATCAAATAGATAGACAGTACGTCATTACTTGGATTTTTTTAATGGTAATATCTATTTCAGGGTCTCCTGTCCCTCCTACGTAAACTGAAGTCAGCTCCAGACCAAGAGCTGCGCATACTGTTACTTGGTCTGGATAATGCAGGTAAAACAACTTTGCTGAAGAAATTAGCCTCAGAAGATATAACTCAAACCACCCCAACACAAGGCTTCAATATAAAGTCTGTCCAGTCAGATGGGTTTAAGCTCAATGTTTGGGACATTGGTGGACAACGCAAGATTCGACCTTACTGGAGAAATTACTTTGAAAATACTGATGTTCTAGTAAGTAGCACTTTAAAAATTTACTATATAATACCCCTGTACAGTACAATGGTACCCCTCAGGTGTTTGAAGCTTGGTAAGAAACACAGTCATGAAAGAAAAAATTTGACTAAGGTACCTCAAAGCTATGTACAATACCCCTTTCTTAAAATAGGAATAGTTCTGTACTATATTCTACATAATTTTACCCATTTCTTAAATCCATCAAGTATCAGACTGAGATACATGCCACGTGACACCCACGCACAGATGCTCAACTGAATGTATGAACTGGACTGATGATGGATTTTCTGTACTTTTTAAAATATTTCTGGTGAATAGAGGGGTAGTCTGGAGCATCTCAGAGATCCAGAAAAAAAAATTCTGGTGAATAAAGGTGGTTCTGTACTTAGAGGGAAAATATGGAGAATTACTCTTAAACACACATGATGCTCTTCATTGTACCAACACATGCAATATGGTACATGAGCAGCCAGAAACCCCACAAACTGGTAAACCACTATGAACCTAAAGACCATATCAGTAAAAAGGAGGTTTAGGAAATGATTGACCCTAAGGATCACATGTTACACATTCCTGTTGATTTAAATAATATGCCTTGCTTGCTAGTAAGCAAAGATATTATGAAATCCACATAATATTTATTTTATTTCAATGAATGTTTTTCTTTTTGCACACTTTTGTGTTGAAATTTTTGAAAAAAAATAGCCTTATTACTGCAAGGAAAGTTTTCATTCCTTAGTTATCTCAAATTTAGTGGTCGTAATTTACAAATTCCATACAGGCAAATTTTTTTAATCCGATTGTTTATAATGAGGATGCTGATTTGTTGTAAATCACTTGATCCAGACTCAACTATAAGTGGAATTTCAGGATCAATCCCTATTTTGCATTGTGAGTTTCTATAATATTATTAATTACAGAATGTTGTTTTGTTGAAGTAATCCATCAGCCTCGGATATTCCAAGCTCAGTGTAATGCTCGTTATATTTATCAAAACCTTTCACTTTTACTTCTGTAGATATACAGGCACTAAGTTAAAGACCCTACTGGAATTAAGCATCTGATGGCTTTGTCAGCCTAACTGTTTACTATTGTTGTATATCTGTACTGTCTAGGTTCAGGACACTGGAAACTGTATACGTCCACAGTCTATGTACAGGGGCCTCCATACGAACATACCACAGCCTGGGAATGTAGGAGGGCTCAGGTACAAGATGTGGCAAAGCAGTGCCTTAATCAGGGCTGAAAGAATGGCCGTGAAACATTGAAATTATCTTGTTTGCATGACCACACATCAATGCTGAAGAGCACTTGTCACGTTGATGCTTTATTTATTTATATTATGTAGCATTGTTGTGTAGTCGCAACCGAGTGACTAAGATTGAACTATGAGGAACTGGCAAATGGTAATCCACAGTTTCACGCCCATGACTATGGCACTGAGTTGCCACATCTCTTACCTGTGCCCTCACACACTCACACATTCCCAGGCCGTGGTACAACCTGCATTGTTTATACACTTGCTGAGCTGTATGCCTGCAAATTCTGTATACATGCCAAACCAATTGCAAACCAATTGTATGTCTGTTTGATGATTTTACTGAATAAATAATTATAATAATAATATTACAGTATTATTATTGTTATTATTGTTATTATTATTATTATTATTATTATTATTATTATTATTATTATTATGATGTTGCTAATTCTTGCATGTTTCAGATCTATGTCATTGATAGTGGTGATAGAAAAAGGTTTGAAGAGACAGGTCAAGAGCTTGGAGAGATACTAAGTGAAGAGAAGCTTGCAGGTACAGTATAAACAACTTAAGTTTTGACTAATCTATATTGTTTATTGTATACTGTCTTCATTGTGTGATCACAGATCCCAACATGCTGAGTATCTCTTGATAAAGCTTTCCTTTGTTGCGAGGTATGTAAGTTTAGCAACATTATACATTGTTTTAGTGAAGAACATAATTGCTCTTAATGCAGTTCTTTGTCCACCAATACGAGCCTTTTAATCCTATGTACTGGCAATGTGTATCGGTGTACAGAGTTATCATGCCCCCAGCTGCAGTGACACCCATACACATTCTTGCACCTTTAACAAGGTAATTTAATTACTATTTTAACCGCTTTTAATATGTTGTTTTTAGTTTAATTTTCTTTATATACTGACTAAGTCTGGCACAGAAGCCTTGAGGTGCTTGTGTCAGCACAGAAGCCTATTCCAAATTGCAAAATATTATGGAATTTTTCATTTATTTTTCTTAAAATTTTTCTTATCTTCTTTAATATACCCTGTAATTAGCCAAAGACTACTGTTTATATAGTACCTCATCCCTTCATCTCAAAGTAAACTTGTATACATAATAATGCTAAAAAATAAATCTTTTATGGGTAACTTATTGCAGTCTTAACAAACATCAGTCAAAAAATCATTTGCATACAGTATTTGCTTTCAACCCATCACTTACTTACTTTTGCATTCATATTGCCTATCACTTTTAGTTTCATTTTACTTTGGAGACTTTGGATACAGTTATTTAACTGATCCTGAAACTTTCTTATTTGTACCATACCTTTATATACCAGAGATATTCATCTAAAAATACTGTACATACTACATACTTTTCCTATTACTCTACACAGTATATTCTTTCCATAATATCACCCAACCATTCAGTCTCTTTAAATTGCCCGCTACTGCTGTGTATTCTGCATAGAGCAGCTGATTTACCCCCATTTGCACCACTTATCCTTATCCATCAAACCTGTTCCACTCCGCATTACTCTAGTTTTCATGAAAATATTATGTAACCATATAATTTTGGACCCCTTTTTCTTTTTCCTACAGGTATACCTGTCTTGATATTTGCAAATAAGCAAGATCTCTTTAATGCAGCACCTGCCTCAGAGATAGCAGAAGGTCTTCAACTCCATACAATCAGAGACCGCACTTGGCAAATACAAGCCTGCTCAGCTACCTCTGGCGAGGGTGTTAAAGTGAGTAGCATGTCCTCTGATCTATGTTCATGATAATATTAAGAAAAACACTGTATATCTTGTAATTGAAGCCACTACTTTAATTTATTCCCAGCACCATAAATGATCAAAAATATTGCGGGTTGTAGTGACGTTCATATGCTTGTTTTCCAACAGTGACTGATTGCAGGGTTGAAATTCTTTGGGTTGAAGCTCATCTAAATTTATACTATGGGGTTAGGGGTTAAAATATTTGGGTTGGGTCATATACAGTACTGTATCAACTTTTAACATGGGATCCTATGGGAAAATGGATCATGTTAAATGAGAATTCACTTAAGGAGCACTTTTTCAGGAACACATATTGCTCATTAAGCTTGAAGGTTATGAGGAACCTTTAGATATTTTTTGAAAGCGTAGTCCTGATAGCTTCTTTCTAAGTCTGGCAGAAATTTGTTTTTTCTAATGTGTACAGTGTGTGCATTTTTTATCTTGTCATCTTATTTGTCACAGAACTGAGCGAAGGAGACATTTCCTTCTCTTAATCTGTAATTTTATTAGTGAATCCTTAGAACGTCTTGGAGTAGGGTACTTTTAAATTGGTGGGGGAGTGTGTGTTGGTTGATGTCAGAAAGGAATCTCTCTGTTCTTTCTGGTATTGAGTGAACATGCACTCGATATACACAGTTCTCTTAGGGGAGATGTTGTCCACCACATTATCTCTGTCAGACTGGATATAATTTATTGTTCTGAGGACCTCTGTATTCTGGAATATTGTAAATGCTTTTGTAGAGAGAATGATAATAATGCTACAATGCATCAAGAGAGATACTGTAGTGAATATTGTATCACAAATTTGATTAACCCATTGGGTACAAAGGGTCTCTGTATTGAATAAAATTGTCTGTCATTAGTCAAATAAAATATTAAAATTAGCATCCAGTAGTAAAGGGGTTAAGGGAGATAGTTTATAAGCCCTTGGGTGCGAGGGGTTCTCTTTGTGCTGAATTAAATAATCTGGTGTTAGCCAAATAGAATATTAAAAGTGATGTCCTGTGGTGAAGGGGTTAATACAGGGAGTTATTTCTGATAGGAGTTTTGCTGTCCTACGATAAAGATTTTTGTTTAGCATCTCCTCGTGTTTAGAGTTAGATGACTGCCTGTTTAGGGATGTCAGTTAAAAATTAGGGATTGTTCCTGAAGTCCCAATTAAAGTGGAATTTAAAGCTATGCATATTGGAAACCTTCCAATTCTCAGTTTTATGCCGAGCCAATAGGAACTAGTACGTTAAATAGTCATTTTCGCTCCGTATTCACAAATGAAAACCTAGCACAGTTTCCAGAAGTTCATAAGGTATATAACGACAGTATAGAAAATATGTTGATGAATATCAATATTACTAGTAACGATGTGCTTAAAGTAATTAACAAACTGAAGCCTCATAAATTGCCTGGTCCAGACGAGGTATATGCTAGAATATTAAAAGAATGTAGAGATGAGTTGAGTAATCCATTAGCAGTTTTATTTAATAAGTCATTAGAATCGGGCCTAGTGCCAGAAGCTTGGAAACTTGCAAGTGTAGTTCCGATTTTCAAAAAAGGTGATAAATCAATTGCATCAAATTACCGTCCCATTAGTCTCACGTCAATCATAGGCAAGTTGCTAGAGTCAATTATTGCTACAAAAATCAGAAGCCACCTTGAAACATTCAACTTAATTCATTCTTCTCAGCACGGGTTCACCCAGGGACGTTCCTGTCTCACAAATTTGCTTAGCTTTTTCTCAGAAGTATATGAAGCGGTAGATAATGATAAGTCATATGATATAATTTATTTAGATTTCAGTAAAGCATTCGATAGAGTCCCTCATGAGAGATTGATAAGGAAGGTAGAAGCACATGGAATAGGTGGATCATTATTAAAATGGATTAGGTCATGGTTAACTGGTAGGAAACAAAGAGTCAGCATAAATGGATTTAAGTCAGACTGGGGTGCGGTCAAAAGCGGAGTTCCCCAGGGATCTGTATTGGGCCCTCTGCTGTTTGTTATATTCATTAATGATCTTGATTTAGGTATAACTAGTAGGATTAGTAAATTTGCAGATGATACCAAAATGGGGAGAGTGATAAATTCAGACAGTGACTTTGAACACCTTCAAAGAGATCTAGATACCTTACATGAGTGGTCAGTAGACTGGCAAATGAATTTTAATACTGATAAATGCAAGGTACTACAGATAGGGAAGACGAATACAAACGTTAAGTATAAACTAGGTAACACGGAAATAGAAAACTCAGATTGTGAAAAAGATCTAGGTGTATTTGTTAGCAACGACTTGAAACCTAGAAAACAATGTATTAGCGTTCGCAACAAGGCAAACAGGATTCTTGGGTTCATATCTAGGAGTGTGAGTAACAGAACTGCTGACGTTATCTTGAAACTTTACCTAGCATTAGTGAGGCCACACATGGATTATGCGGTTCAATTCTGGTGTCCTTATTATAGAATGGACATAGATTCTTTGGAGAGAGTACAAAGAAGAATGACAAAAATGATCCATAATATTAGAAACCTTCCATATGAAGAAAGACTGAAAAGCTTAGGCTTGCATTCATTAGAGAGGCGTAGAGTTAGGGGAGATATGATAGAGGTGTTCAAGTGGGTAAGTGGGATTAACAAGGGTAAAATGGAAGATGTTCTGAAGCTCAGTAATAACGAAATAACTAGAACAAATGGCTTTAAATTAGATAAATTCCGATTCAGAAAGGATATAGGCAAGCACTGGTTTGGTAATAGAGTTGTGGATATGTGGAATAGGCTACCGAGTGCTATAGTAGGATCGGGGACGCTAGGGAGCTTCAAGACGAAGTTGGATAGGCACATGGAAGTGCTGGGATGGGTGTGAAAGGGATCTGCCCTGTATGGGCCAGTCGGCCTCCTGCAGTATCCCACTTTCTTATGTTCTTATGTAAGTTCACTCGGCTTTACTCGGGCTGAATTAGACTTACTTGGGTTTATAGACATGGGAACCTGTTGCCCTGTCTAGTGATTGCTTAGTTGGAAGGTCATGTTCCTACATAGACTCTCATTTCTTCAGAAGTATTGCTTTGTCCTTTCTCCCTCATTAGAGATGTATTGTATGGGGAAGAGATGCAAATTTGTCTATCCAAAGGGATCAACAGATTCATCTGGTTGATGCAAAGACATCCTTTTAAAGGACTTGTGTACCCCCACAAGTCTTCCAGTACTGTATTATAAGGACAGCCTGGCTTCAGGTTCTGATAGTAAAATGGGTTCCAGGATCAGTCCTCCACTTTTTAGAAGCTTTAGAGTTATCATACACAAGTTCAACTTGGGCAAAAGCTTCCCATTTGGCAACATTTACCCTTAAAAAGTCTGTATGTTTTTATTTGATAATTCAAAGGAATTGGCCCTTAATGAGTGACTAACAGTATTCTTCCACAGGATGGATTAGACTGGGTCTGTAAGAATCTCAAGAAGAAATGAAGCCACTTGCTTCCTCCAGCACAATAAGTATTCCGTCCAAGTGCAGTATGAGTTAGCTAATATATTATTTGTGAGAGTTCATTTATAGTTTGCATAAATAGCAATAAAAATCACCAGGCATAATGAGGTATAATCATAGAAAAAATAGTCTTATTAAGTGGCACAAAACTTGACAGTGTTGCATAGGCATGCTGTTGGGGTGTGGTATTGTATTTATTGATATTTATTACATTTACAAATTTATTTCCGTTGACATCACAGGCATTTTATAACCTAATGCCTGGCTCATTTGACTCATTTATAACTGACCAGAGTCTGTGGATTGAAAACACAGGTCCCATTAATTAATATGGAACTAAGGGAATGATTACCTGTAGTTCAAATTCTTCCATCACAGTCAAAGCTCTCAAAAATGGATACAGTAAACCTTTTATGTTGAGTGGAATAAGCACTTGCTCCTCATTTTTTATATATTTTCTTTCAAGAATCCATCCTGTTTTTCGTAATGAAATTCATTCATAATACAGTAAATACCTTACACTATATAAGAGATATGGCAGGGTTATAATGTAAATTTTAAAATTTAACACTTTCCAATGGCATAGACATCATTACCCCACTCACTCCACACTGCATGTAGCATATATTTAACTTGCCTTTCCATGATATGAGAAGCTGAAACATTTAGAAAAGATATGGTGAAGCTCTGCACACACAATAATGAAAAGCAGTCATGTGTAAATGACCCTAAATGCATTGTGCCAAGAAACTAAAGTGGCAGTGGAAGGAAATACTGTTGCCAATTTAATACTTCTATCACCTTAAGACTTGCCACCGCCTCTTGTGATAGTTTATGTTCAGTGACGAATGATTCCAGAATACGTGTTGTGTAAATCTATACATATCATTATGTTTATGAGATAGCTACTATACTTGTTAAGAATTGAAATACAGTGTACTGTGTTTTCTGGATGTTTTGAGGAAGTCTAGCTACATTTTCCAATTCATTTTAGCAACACTAGCTTCCACCTGCACTGGCAAGTTAACTAAAATTACAGACACCCACAAAAGTCCTGTCACCTCTCCTCCTGAACCACAAACCCCAAAATTCAGACTCGTGAACCTGAAGCTGTAGACACATGCATTATTTTGTTCATGAAATGCTTCAGGTTCACGAGTCTGAATCTCGGGGTTCGTGGTTCAGGAGACGAGACGACGGGACTTTTGTGGGTGACTATACAGACATTGAAGAGTACTGATATACAGTACTGTACAGTATTTTTATGAAACATTAGTGTGATTCCTTTTCATGGAAAAAGGCATTGGAAATGCAATAAATTACTAATATTTGGATGAGTAAAGCTTTCTTATTTATGCTATGCAAGTATTGTACAGTAATATGTTATATAGGGTTAGAAATTGCAGTCTTTGGTGCCCACAAACTCCCTCTTTTCCCATTACTAAATTGATTTGCAGATGTGAGGTTTCAGGTTCACCCAACCCCTTCTGGGACACAGCACTGCATGAAATAGTTGGCTTACATTATTTGTGGCTACAAATGCTACTTATGAGTGAAGAGTTTTGCTGCCTCACCTTGTGGGTACAGGTTGACTATAAAAAATCCGGCAACCTCGGGACCTGAGGAGTGCCGGATTTTCGAAAATGCTGGAAAACTGATGGTTATATTTGCTGTATAAGTTTAACAGAAAATGACTGCCTGTACAGTCCTTTAAACAAAGAAAATTAAACACTAAATGAAAAGCAAATGAAATTTTTATTATATATGCTGTATACAGTATATTTAACAGAAAATTACTACCTGTACAGTCCTCTAAAAAAATAGAAAATTAAACACTAAATGAAAATCAAATGAAATTTTAATGTTTATCAGGCTAAACAGCAGATGGGCTGTTAGGATTATCATCTTTATCACTGACAGTGACAACATCCTCAGCAACAGGAACAGCTTCAACTTGTCTTGAAGTTGATGGCAGTGGATTATCAAGTGTGGACACCGCTGTTGCTTCTTCCTGCTTCCTAGCTATTTTCTTGAATATATCGGGCAATGTCTGTTGCTTCATATACTTGGGTCTTTCTCTAATAAGTTTATCTTGGAGTAAGAAAACATTCATGATTTCTTGTTCACTTACAAAACTTCGTTGCTCTAGTCCAGCCAGCAGTTCAGTTGTCAACTCAATTAACCTGTCAATAGAGATTCTGTCTCTCACATCTTCCTCATTTTCTTCACTGCTTTCATCTTCATCACTACCTGTACAGTCATTTCTCTCCAGACTTTTAACCATATCTACAATTTCAGAATCAGTGTAATGATGAACTGTAGGCACATTATCATCAACATCCAACCATTCTGTTAAAACATCTTCATTTATCCTTGATGAAAGCTCCTTGGCATCAGGATTAGTTACATCTTTAACATAAGCAAGAAGTTCATGTATAAGGTGCTTTTCTTTGGAAACCCTAAACCCTGCAAAATCTTTTTCTGTGTCTTCGTTAGAATGAGAAGTAAACATTAAACTTGGCCACAATTTATGCCATCCATTTTTCAGTGTTGATGTTTTAATAGACGCCCAAGCATTGGCAACACAGTACACTGCATCCTTAATGATGAACTCTTTTATGAATTTCTGTACTGGGGTGCCTGAATTAACTGAACTCACTAGGCGCCTCATTAACAGGGATCGATACTTACACTTCATAGAACGTATGATACCATTGTCCTGTGGTTGAATTAGTGATGTGCAGTTGGGTGGGAGGTAGGCAACAAAAACATTATCTTTCACTAGAAGATCGGCTTTTGGATGTGCCGAACAATTGTCTAAAATAAGAAGTATCTTGCATTTAGGGTCTAGTCCATCTGAGTTACAGTGAGCCCTGGCCTCAGGAACAAAACATTTATGAAACCAATCCAATGTAATATCAGTGGTAACCCACCCCTTCTTGTTGGCACGGTAATGGACAGGAAACCGTGTCATACCCTTAAAGATCCTCGGATGTAAATTTTTTCAAATAACAAGCAACTTACATCTATGGGTACCCGCAGCATTAGAGCAGCACATTACCGTGACGCGATCCTTCGAAGCTTTAAACCCCGATGGCGGTTCTGCATCCTCAGTTGTCAGAGTTCTTTTTGGCGTACATCTCCAAAATAAGGCAGTCTCGTCAGCATTGTACACTTGTTCAGGACTTAAATGTTCATCACCAACTAACTTTGCAAATTCATCCACATAGGCACTAGCTGCATCCTTGTCTGCTGAACATTTTTCACCACATACTGCACGAAAATGTAAGCCATGTCGCAACTTGAAACGTTGCAGCCAACCTTCTGTATAGTCACACTTGTGTTGCAATCCCAGCTCTTCATGAAACACTTTGGCTTGTTCCTTTAATAAATCACCAGAAATTTCCACACCTTCACTTACACGAAGTTTAAACCAGGTTATGAGAACTTGGTCTAGTTCCGCACTTTTTCCCTCCGACATTGACTTCCTTACAAACATTTTCCTTTTTGATCCACTGTCAGAAAAGAACTTTTAACAGTTTTTCTTTCTGTTTTTTAATATCATACACTGTTGAAGAGCCGATGCTGTATGTTTCACAAATGGTTTGCACAGACATGCCGCTATCAAGTTTTTTAAGCACTTCCACTTTCTCTGCCATCGACAACGCACGATGTTTATGTTTTACGCCACCGCTTTTCTTTGCTGAATCCATGATGGGGCTATACAGCAGCAATTAAATGATAAAATCAGAAGGAATGAGCATGAATGCTTGTTAGCAGGTGCAAGCAAGACCCAACAGCTGATTCTGGAGTACAGCGCTATCAAAACATAAACGACACGTCCAGAAAACAATGGTGCGCCAAGGCAGGAAATTTGAAAATGCGCTCCGAAATCCATGCCGGAAAACTGAAGGTTCCGGTTTATTGATTGCCGGATTTTTGATGGTCAACCTGTAGTATGATTTACCTCGTATAGTATTCATATTTGAGAATTACTGTATTCACTTTGAAGTTCTGTATGAGGACACACAGGAATTTGTCATGGGTCTGACATCTGGCCATTGTTTGTTTAAGTCATTAAACAGCAGCAGGTGGCCTCATTAGTGTGTTACTCTCTATGCATGAGCTGCACTCCTCAGATAACAGTGTCATCCTAGTTCACTGAAGGCTTGCTCTATCCAAGACCTATTTTCCCAGGTATCACACACTAGAGAGGATTACCAGGGACATATTCCCCACGTTCTATAATTGTTCTATTTGGGTTATAACAGGTACTGGGTAGTTATGGGAGATATCACTTCTAGTACTCCTTTTTTAAGTGATGCGGTTGTCATTGGAAGGTTTTCAAGTACTGTAATCTTATATTAGTTCCTACCAACAAGGCTCTGGGGTCTGGGTTTTCAACTTTGGATGGTTATATCTAACTTACCCAATCCAGGATTGGTTATAAAATGGGATCTCAGGATCAGTATATATATCTTTCTCTCTTTTTATGCGAATGAATTAGTTCAAAACAAAGTACTGTATTTTGAAACTTTTTGTGTAACCTTAAATAAGAAAATGTAAATAGTAGCAAAGATAAAGTAAAATTTTTGAAAAAGGACCTGTTATTATTTATATACAATAATGCAGTATTAAGTTATTTTACTTGGCCCTTTTAGTATATATGCACATTGACTACAGTACTTAGTAAAGTTTATATTCTTATTTTTACATGATTTTCTGCTTGTCTGGAAGTATTTTTCGTAGGGCAGGACCATAACCCTGCATTACATTACAGGAATGCCTTGAAAAACTTTCAGCAGCAGGCAGGCTTTTCACAAATTGGCTATGTAGCTTGCTATTCATGAGTGTATAGAATCATGAAGTAAATTATTTTTCAAAGCAAACTTTTAGTCTAAAACTGATATGTGGGAAATGTTAGTGGAAAGAAATCCCTTAATTGGGCCTAAGGAACCAGTTTCTATCACAATGTTAAATGCAGCATTAGCCCAACATTAACAAGAAACCCACCATGCCTTACTGTTCATTTGGGATGGCCAATGCCAATGTTGGGCACAACTTGAAAGAGAACCTTTGAAGGATTATTTCTCCAGATTTTCAGCAGATTTGAGCCAGAAGTTTTTGAGACATTAGAAATGTGAAAAGTTCCTGGATAGATTGATGGGCATACAGATGGACATTAATAGCTTTAGTCCAGATGTGAAAACACAGAAATGATTTAAGCACTGGCCATCATTGTAATCAATGATGATTTTTATTTTTTGTCTTTAAGTATCCCCAATCATCTTGCAAATATTCCCCAGTAAGCTATAAGGTGGCGAGATCAAAAGCAGACGCAGACTATCTTTTCATTCACTGTTATCAGTTTGCTCTAACTGTTGTGAATTCCCCGTAACCCACAAGACACAATACTGTGCCCTGTTATCATTTATTTGCACTATACTATAATCTAATTATCCATCCCCTTCATCACTTCTGGTACCATTACTAGTTTCACTCCATCCTTCCATCTTCCACTTAGTCGTTCCATATTTTTCCTACCATCTACATTTTTCATCACCTTTGCCCAAACTAATTATCAATGATTGCCAGTGTTGCATGATGTTTGTGTAAATAAACTGTAGAATCTTTGTTTCAATAAAGTTGTTTAACATTATGATGAACATGGTGATCAATGTGTTGTCTTAATGTGCCATGTACTGTACTGTATTTGTCTTGACAAACTACAGTACATTGACACTCACTGCTGCATATAAAAGTTTCATCGCACAAATCTGCTCAAGATGATCTAGTAGACCTTGATGTCCATCTGCCATTCTTGGTTATACTAGTTAGTATGTGTTGTCAAAATGAATCTTACATTTACAGGGCACAAACCAACAGATTAATACAAGGTACAGTAGTAATTTTAGGCATTCTCTATCTAGTCAGCTGCATCAGCATAAATGCCTAGTGTGGCATCATTCACCACTTGGGCAAGTCAGATGCTTCGTGCGGGAGTCAATTTTTTCAGTTTGATTTTGAGAATTAATATCACATTGTGTAGGTATGTATGTATGAAAATATATTATTGTTGTACCCTGTAGTATCAAGCTTTAATCTATGTATTATTTGGAAATGCATTTCTTCCTCTAGAGTTGTTCAACAAATCACAGTATTGCATATCACATCATTCTTGGACAAAAATACAGAAAATGTGGGTTAGTTTATGGCAGGTTGTTATATAGAGCTTTTCATTCTTGACCTCTGATTTTAAAATAAAATTTAAGAAATACTGTATGTGGTAATTGGAGTGAAAGTAGAGATGTCTTGCACTGCAGGAGATATAATATTGTTTAATACAGTATTTGGTATAGTTAAGATTTGTGAAATGTTCTGATTTTATTGTACTGTACAGTACAGTAGTTATACTGTACAATATTGTCAAATTCTTTAGTCACATACCTATGGCTTCTGACCTATTTAGTAAATAACTATACAGTAATGTGATTTAACATAAGTGATTGTTACATTAACATTTAAAGGCACTTACGTACTGTACATGATTAGTTACATCAGTCTCCCTTCACAAGAATGGTTTTGGTTCTGACAGGTCAGGTTTTATTAGATATGTATGTACATTAAATCATCTCAAAACCACGCTAATTTGCTTATACTGTACACAAAATACAATGTAAATTTCACACATCATTCTTGGCCATCTAACTGCACATCCTATTCTGTACTGTAAAGTAGAAATCCAACTTACCTTAATTATGGGGCCAAATTTTTACTTGCACTTCTTTATACTGGCCTGGCTGAGGTGATGCCCCCTTTTCCAGTACATTACCAGACATACAGAGGCATCATTGTCTGCCATAATTGCAGACACAGATGTACCATTTTTAAGCTTCTTTATCAATGAAATTGATTCAGTTATACTCTTGTGAAATAACTTTTTGCCGTGTTCACTTAGTTTTGGCACTAGCACATATAAAAAGCGGTAATAGCACTCCATAATGATGCTTTATACAGTATATTGAAATACTGTACACAAGAACACAATGGCATGAGATGCAGGAGAAAACTGAAAGGCTGTGCATAGGTGAAGATTTGGATGGCTTAGATGTTCTGACACACACCAACTGACCACATGGTCAATAGCAGACGCTTGCTCACATTAAAATTTTTTACTGATTTGGTCTGCCATTGATACCGGAAAAAAGACGTCTGTTATTGAAATTATCCAGTACAATATTGCGAAGTCCATTATTGAGAGGATTTACTGAATTGGTCACTCATATTTAAATGTTACGGACAACCAACCAATCTAGGGTAGAAGCCTGACATTCATTAGAGGTAGATATGTATAAAAAATGCATCAACGTGAACAAAATAAATTTGTTAACTTTGTGATGTTATACCTGCCTTAGATTTATTCCTGAAATATTATGATCTCTACAACAAATGCCATAGACCTATTATATTATAGTATTGTATAATGAATTACCGAATTAGACTCATTACTGTTTACTATATGACCAGATTGTAGAAATTGTGTGTGCACAGTACAGGTACATACTTTCTCTGGTATGCTGTCCAAGAATGATATAAAGGTGGTTTATTGTGTTCAGGTCATCTTGAAGAACATTTTTCAAGTCATTATTAAGTTTGAGTATATATTAGTTGTATGTGTAGTCTGCCTGATAACTACAGTAGTTGTGATGCAAGTCTTTGAAGAAATTGTTTTACTCTATATGATACAGTATATATTCATGTTGTTAACAGGCTTACTTATAAAGCAATACTTGTACCAGATTGCTTTTCATGAATATCTGAAGAATTGTATTTACCATTAGCCCTCTGAATATCCCAGGGACCAATGAAAATAAGCATGTGATCACGTTCCGTCCAATAGAGTTTACTGGCACTGAATGTCGTGTATTACTCTCAACTTTTATTAATGGTGTCCTCAATACAGTACTTATTTTCTGAAGATTCATACCAATATATATTTTTTTAGGAGAAGGTTGATATAGCAATCTCCTATTTATAATTTTTTCTTTCTTAATTTGTATTAGAGTGCAGTAGAAAATTGCCATTGAATAGTGATGTATTAGAGATGTTAATTACTAAATGGAAATATGCCTGCACCTTACAAGTAGCATAAAGTTATATATTCACAACTGTGAGTAATACAATTTATAGTAACTAATTTTCTAGTCATTTATCTTCAGGTGAGCAACATTGTCTAGTCTCTCTTACATGTGTATTGTATTTTGTAGTGTCCCCTGTAATAAGTATAAGACAAATTGCATAATAGGAATAATTTTGTACAGCCTTCCTATATAGGGCATGGCTGAGAAAGCAGTGATAAAGAGTACAGAGTGCAGTACAGTCAGCCCTTAACATACGCGGGGGTTAGGTAACAGAGATACCTCTGAATGCTAAAAATCCGTGTACTTTTGCTGCCCCCTAAAAAACCCCTGGCCCCCCCAT